ATTCTCAACAAGTACAAAGACTGAAATACCCCTTCACTAACACCACTAACAAAGGCTTTAGGGACTTCAGTGTTAGGAGGGGAAAAGATGTCAAGGAAGCTGTTCAAGGAACTGAAGGAAAAGTATTCGCTAACTGAAGAATGATCTGGATAAGGTGCCTGAGGGTCATGCTATTGCAAGGGCTTGATTTTGGGCTGGGGAATATTAATGGGATTGAGTCTTGTTTTGGGTTCGGAATGTTGCTTTGTTTTTTGTTTTTTTTTGGGTTTGATTTCTCTTTCCTGTAATTGAAATCTAGGGCTGGAGGTAGGGGTGCTCACAGTTTGGTTAACCGAACCGTGGTTTTTTTTTTAACCGAACTGATTTGATCGGGTTTTTTTTAAATCTGAACCGGTGTAATCGGTTAACCGGTTAACTGTGGTTTGGTTTTTCGTTTTTTATTTTGCACTCAAAATAAAAAAAAAAAAAAAAAACTGAACAAGCAAATCATGGCAGAGGGGCGAGCTGGCGAGGGCGAAGTGGTGGCCGATGATTTGCTGGTGCTGGACTGGTTGGTGGTTGTTGTCGCCTGAAGTGAAAGCCTGAGAGGTGGTGGAGCCGCGAAGATGAGAAATGAGAGAGACAGAGATAGAGGCACAGAGCCTGGGAGGTGACGGTCCTGGCAGAGTCGAGGCGGCGACCGATGTTGCATGTTGGCACGGGGGAGACAAAGATGACATGCAACACTGCAATAGAGACTCAGAGAGTGAAAGAGACACAGGGAAAAACTACTGCTGACGACTGGCGTCGGAGGAAAAACTGGGGATTGTCGGATTGGGGAAGATGAAGAGACAAGACTGAGAGAGTGAGAAAGGGGAAACTGGTTTAGTAGGGGTGAGCATTCAGTTTTTTTGGTTCAAAACTGAACCAAAAAAATCGAATTAGCTAAATGGCAAACCGAACTGAATTTTTTTTTCAGTTATTTCAGTTCTAACCAAAATATTTTTTGTATTATTATTTAACTTTCAATAAATTTATTGAGTGGATCGGTTAATTTGAAGTTGTGACTTGTGAACACAGATTCCATAAAAAATAGAAAATAAGAAAAACAAATTTGGCAACAATGCCAAAACCCAAAAGAAAATTAAGTGGGCTGTACTGCTTTGGGCCTTGTTGCATTCTTAGCTTATAGGATATAAACCAATACCAAACATCTGCAGAAGAAACATAGGTTCTAACAGAGTAACAGCCTTCTAAGTTCTAACAGCTTTTGCTTTCCTTTTATTTTTTTTTCTTCCCACCTGTATGGCTGTATCTATATCTTTATTAATGTACAGACTGACCTAGGGCAACCTACACAAAGAATAGAGAGACCAAAAATCTGTTCCTAGCCATCCTCTTCTCCTCCTCCAACACCAACAGTCCAACCAACCAACTCCTTTCACCCGCCTTTAATTCTCCAACGGTCAATCAATTTACTGTGAACTGTCCCCCTTTCTATCTCCTCCTACCCTCCCATTCCCATAAAAATGTAGAGGATTGAAAAACATAACATAATAACTAGGAGATCAATGTCCCAAATCGTTCAAAGATACTACTCCATGTCAGTATTCCAGATGGAAAAAGATTTCTGTGACATAACAGAGTTGAGAGAAGAGAGAATTCAGTGATGAGTTTTAAACAACAGGCATTCAAGTGGATGGGGAGAAGTAGCTATCATAATTCATCGATGAGGGTCAAAATTCAAGAACAAGGCCGTGTAAGGCATCAACTATCTTCTTGGTTTGTACTACTGTACCTCTTTAACAAAGAATGAATGCAGAAAGAGTATTAATGGCCGCTCTGTTAAAATACGACAGAAAACTTGCATTTCAAAAATCAAACAAAATAGGAACTAAGAAGGTCCTGTTTGCCACAAAGACATAATAGAAGGTCCTGTTATTCTTGAATGAGCGATTCTAGTCACCAAACAAAATAGGAAGAATACATAATAGTCCAAAACTTTCAAAGCTTCAAAGACTTTGCCACAAAGACAACCAAAAGTCCAAAACTTCCACCGCTACAGCATTTCCACAAAGACTTTGCCTCCCAAGTCCCACCTGCTATAATCTATTTGAAAGAAAGGCCCCTTGTTAGAAAGTTAAGGTGAGTAAATACAAAATAGTCCAGCATACAATATAAGCATGGAATTTAAAAACTTACCCAAGAATAAGCATAGGAATGAATTTAATAATCAAATATCAACCACTATTCCTTGCTCCGATGCACTCTTAGGTAAATCTAGAAGGGAAGAAAAAAAATTATCAATTAATCATTTATGAAGGCTAAACAAATATCAATTTATCATTATAAATGACATATGAAACTTAAACAAAAAAAGAGTATTACCATTTTCAAATTTATCAATCTCTTCTAAATCTTCTTCAACATTAATTGCATGTTTCGATGACCGAGTCCAATCTCGAGTACATATAAGTGCTTCTGCTACCTTAGGTGTCAAAGAGCTCCTAAATGCATCAAGCACTCGTCCTCCAATGCTAAAAGTGGACTTAGAAGCAATTGTAGAAATGGGAACTGCTATACATCACGAGCCATCTGTGAAAGTATAGGGAATCTGGGACTGTTAACTTTCCACCAACTTAAAATATCAAAGTCGTCATTACCTTGTCCCTCTTTAGTATCTTCATTCAGATGTCTATCCAACTCTGATTTAGCATCTCCCCCTCCACTTACTAACTTGTATTTCTTAAATCGAGACATCATCAACATCTTCTTTGCTTGTGATTATTGGGGTTGCTCACTCTCTATCTCACTTGAAATTGAACACTTAACATTTTCAGTAGTTTGTCCACTTCCACTCTGAGGTGCAAACATACTCTTATATTCATTATACAACTCATACAAGGCTTCCCTGACTCTTTTTGCAAATTCTTGACCCTTGGCACCTTGATAAGTTTCATTAAGTACAAACTCATACTCTAATTTGTGTTGAGGGTCTAATACAACTGCAATATAGATCAACTTATTCATCTTTTCAATGTTTCCCCAATACTTATCGTACTTCCCTTTCATCCTCTCTGCCATCTCCCTTAAATTTTTGTCCTCATTGTTTACCCATTCTTGCAAAAGGCACTCAACTGCATTAATTTCATGGAAAAAGTTGTTTGATGTGACATACAAGGAGGCCGAAACCCGTACTGTGAGATCATAAAAATGCTTTAAAAATAGCACTAGCCTCCTAACATTCTCCCAATCAAAACAAGTAGGAATCCCATCCTCCGTCTCAAGTTCACTTCTAAAATGAGGATCATGATCCTCAAACCTCTCAGACTCTTTCAAACTTTTGAGCTGCATCCAACATTAGGTATGTCGAATTCCATCTAGTACTAACATCTAAACACAACAAACTCTTACTTTGAATCTTTTCAACCTCAACAAATTCTTTAAATTTTTGCAACCTAGCCAAAGATTGCCTTACATATCTCACAACCTCCCGAACACGACTAATAGACTTACCCATTTCTTTCAAGCCATCATTCACAACTAGATTTATAATGTGTGCAATGCACCTCATATGAAGCAGTTTCCCATCTAGAATACAAGTTCCCCAATTAGAAATTTTCCTTTTCAAGTATGTAATTGCAATATCATTTGAACTCGCATTGTCAACTGTATCAATCCCCCATTCAATCAAACATTTTTCCACCGCCTTACCAATGGCCTCTCCTCTATGACTAGAAATTGTACAAAAGTTAAGAACCTTTTTATTCAATTTCCAATCATTATCAATAAAGTGGGCCGTTAAACACATGTAGTTGATCCTTTGCAAAGAAGACCATGTGTCTGTAGTAAGACAAATCCTTTGCCATGCTTTTTTTAGGAATTTCTTTAACTCCAATTTCTCATCTAGGTACAATTGGTAACAATCTCTAATAATAGTCCATCTAGATGGAATCCGAAACCTAGGACAAGAAAGTGAAAAACTTTTTAAAGCCCTCACCATCCACAAACTTGAATGGAAGCTCATCAACAATGAGCATCTCAGCTAAGCCCTTTCTAATGGCCTCTTGGTTAAACTTCCAACAACTAAGGGAACTCATCTTCTCATTGTTTTCACCCTCCCCCTCCCTTCAGGCTGATTGCATATTTAACTGTGATTGTTTTGCCTTTAAGCTATAGGGGTTTTTCTTACATATGTTCATGTGGTTCCTTAATGAGCCTGTCCCATTTTTCTTAGGGTCACAACAAAATTCTCTATCACAATAGTTGCACTTGCCGTTTATTTCACCATTATCTGAGATAATTTTGGAAAAGTGGTCCCATACCTCTGACCTTGGCTTCATCGCTTTTTTTTTTTTTCCTTTAGCAACTACATTCATCGAATTCATTTGGTTGGAAGGTCGTGGCCGGGGGTGTGGACTTCCAATTTCAGTAATATTGGTAGGAGTCTCTCCAATTTGTTGTGACATCTAAAATCACAATTCACAAAGGATAAGATATATGTTAAAACTAACAAACAAATGGAACAAAATACTTGAACATCTACAATCATAATTCACTTAAGAAACAAAAAGAGAACCAGGTAAGAGCAAACTTACATTGCACAATAAAGCAAATGAGTTGCTAAAAAATATAGCACACTAAATAAATACTCCAAGAATCCAAGTCCAAATCCCTATCAAGATAAAAACAAATGTGTTACGAATAAGGTATTGAGTTTTATAGTTAATTTTAAAAATGTGTTATGAATAGGGTATTGAGTTTTCTAGTTAGTTCACTAACATATTTTGTTGGCTCATTTCCACTATTTTTAAAGTTTTAATGAACTTTCTCTTCTTTTTTCTTTCAATAAACAATAAAGAATACAACATATAGAATTCAGATACAGTATAAAATCTAAATATTTAAAAGATTTTGTATTTGTACTCTGTATTTGTATTTTATATATTTGTATAAAATCTAAATTAAGATACAGTATAAAATCTGTCTGTATTTGTATTTGTACTCTTTCCTTGAGCCTATACTGTTGGCTGAGTTGGTGCAAGATTGGATTGGTTGAAGGAAAAGGTAGGGAAAGGAAGGGAATTAGGGAAAGATAGGAAATGATTTCAAAGAAAGGTCTGTGCATGGTTCCAAAGTGTCGTTGTCGTGGATCTCATCACATAGAAACCATCAATCATCTCTTCAGTGCAAGTGTTCTTGGTCGTAAAATCTGGTCATTTTTCAGCAATTTGTTTGACATTCCAATGATCCGATGATTCCAATCTACCCGACCCACTCTCACTCAAAGACTTATTCATTGGTGGGCCCTCAGCACTAAGAACTCTCAGCTTCATTCTGTGATCCGATCAGCTCCCCCCATGATTCTGTGGATCATCTGGAATGAGAAGTGTACCAGATTATTTGAAAGCAATTCCCATTAGTTTATACCTTAGGCTTAGAGTCAACAAGACAACAAAGTAAAAGTGTAAAACAGTTATAAGTCATTGTTGGGATGGCCATTGAGGAAAAATATCAATATCCGAACTGAATCTACACTCCACAGAACAGAATAGCCGGATTCGTCAGACGGATTACAAGTATTTATTAATGGTAAAAAGAATGATTAGAGAATTTCAGAATGCCTTCAACCTTTGGTAGTGTCACTTTCAGAATGCTGGGACTTTGGACTTCTGGAGGAGAAGAAGAAGAAGAAGTTAATAAATACCTGTTGGCTGTTGTAAGCCTGTAAACTGGCGGTGAAGGAGTGCCTGCCTGAACTGCAGCAGACGAAGAACTCTGTTTGGGAGGATTAAGTTAATAAATACCTGTTGGCTGTTGTAAGCCTGTAAACTGGCAGTGAAGGAGTGCCTAAGTGCAGAGTGCCTGCCTGAACTGCGGCAGACGAAAAACTCTGTTTGGGAGGATTCTCGAATCTCGATCTCTGCCTCTCTGGAGTGATGGAGTCTGGTCTGCTCTTGGCTCTTGCTCTGGAATCCACTGGAACAGATGATGAGGAAGACGAAGTGCTGAACTGGAAACTAGAGTGGAAAGTCTGGACTCTGGAATGGAACTATGGAAGTCTCAACTCTCAGGTCTGTATTCTGGAATTGGATGTGCCGCAGTGAGGAAGATGAAGAGACAAAGAGTCTCTCTCTTTCTATTTTCGATTTTCGTGTTGTTTTGGAATTTGCCAATTTGGACTTTACGTGATAAGTGATAACGTGAACATGTCTAATACGCTAATGTAATGTATGCGGAATTGCCTATTTTTTCGCTAATTTGGTTAATGGTCGATCTTTCATTCCATATATAACTATATATGTATTAATTAATTAAATATTAATATAAAATTATAAATCATAATATAAATAATATTAAAAATATATAAATATAAAACTAATTTGGTTTTTTCGTTTAATCGAATTGGAAAATATGGTAACCGAAACCAAAAACCGAATAGAATAACCGAACTTGGCCAAAAAACCGAATAGGCCGACCGATTAAATCGAAATTGAAACCGAAATTTCAGTTCGGTTTTTCGGTTTTAACCGAATTATGCTCACCCCTTTGGTTTAGGACCTTTAGGTTTTGATTTTCGAAGAAGGGGAAAGCTGGAAAGGCGAGTGTGCCGTGTGCACCCAGATTCACTCGGCCTTGGTGAGTGTGCGTTGGGACTTGGGAAAGGGAAAAACTGAAAATTTTGATCATTTAAAATCAACTTTAAAAGTGGGAAAGTGAGTAACTGGGAATGTTGAAAACTGAAAAGGCGGACAGGCCATAGGCACGCACACCCAGGTTTATTCAATTTTAAAAATAAAAATAAAAATATAATATATAATATGTTATATATATTATTGTATATATACCGGTCAGTTCGGTTAACCACCGGTTTTTTTATAAGGTTAACCGAAACCGAACCAGTTGGTTCGATTAACCGATTTTTTGGTTTGGTTTCGATCGATTTGGTTTTCCGGTTTTTTTTGCTCACCCCTAGCTGGAGGGGTGTGTATTGGTTGACATCGGATGTTTCCATCGGAGGGATAACTTATCACCTGCTTTGTTTTATCTCTCATTCTTAATAAAAGTTTTCTTCTTTATTGATTACAAAAAAAAAAAAAAAGTATTCTCAACAGATCAATAGAAATGAAATTCCCTAAACAAGTTTTTTTCCTGATCAGCAAATTCCTTGAAAACATTCACTTGGTCATCCTTCAAGAAAGGCCAACTTGTAGAAAGCCATGGTAAACTCGCCTGACCATGGGGCTTTGTCCCCTTCCATTTCTGCAATCGCCTCAAATACTTCTTCCGAGAATACCCCTTCCAACCTTTCATTAAAAGCCATAAAATCCAGCTTGGGTCTAACTGGCCATCTTTCTGTGTGACTCAAGATTGACCTCCTAATTTTTTGAGGGACTTTGAGACTTCATGTCATTGATCTCCTCATTTTTTTGCAGTGGTCTTCCATGATAGTAGAATTCAGATTGCTAATCCATCAAGTACTTTCTCTGTGCTTGCTTTTTTCAAGTTCTTTCCTTTGTTTCCTCTTAAAGGATTTTTTTTAATGATAAAAGAAGTTTGGCAAGAACCACTTTCACCCAAGATAAGGCCATTTTGTTTCTAGGTAGAACATTTGAAAATTACTACATGTGCTTTTTATGCAAATTGATGAAACTACTCTGCACTTACTAATCCCGTCTTTTTCCTATAGGGGATATAGGAAAGATTATGTGGAGATGTGCAAGGACAACAATTCTTTGGTCTACTTGGGAGGAAAGAAATGCACATTCTAGGAAATAATCCACAGTAATGAAGCATTGATAGAAAATATATTAGTAAAGGCGGGCTCATCATGGACCCTGGATATCTTTTCTCTTTTCTCTGTAGATATCTTAAGAGGATGGAAATATGTTGCTTCTTCATCATCCACAAGGAGTATAACTTAATCTAGTTTGTTCCCTCCAGATGTGAACCATAAAATTAGGGTCAGTTTGATTTGTTGTCAGATCCCCTGCCTGTTTGGTTAAGACAGGAATCAGAATTGGATTCCATAAGATATGCGTGACTCCCATTCTGCCCAACCAAACGTCTAGAATCAGAATGGGCCATTCTGATTCCCAATTCCAGACCCCTATTCCCACGAACCAAATGGACCCTAAAATCTTGTTTGGTGCATCCTTGGCAACCCAAGGAAGTCAGGCATTGGTAGAGTTTTAACAGTTAATTGGGTGCTGAAAATATTGCTTGAGGTTGAATTCCATTTCCTAAAAAGTGAACTTGAGATATCATCTAATGTCAACATTTTGACTTTGTTCAATTATTAAAAAAAAAACATTTTAACTTTGTTCCACATTAATTTCTTGATGCATGTAATCATTTATGTGTTTCTCCCCCCCCCCC